GGAACAACCTGCCTCCAGAAGCGGTGAATGCTCTAACACTGGAAGTTTTTAAGAAGAGACTGGACAGCCATTTGTCCGAAATGGTGTAGGGTTTCCTGCAGGGGGTTGGACTACATGACCTCCCTTCCAACATTATTGTTATTGTTATTGAACAACTGTGGCAAGAAAGATGGTAAAAATGGGACTAAACTCACTTAACAACTGCCTTGCTTAGCAACAAAAATGTGGTCATAAGTCAAGGACTATCTGTGGTTGTTTGGCAGTCATTGTAACCGATCCTTAGTTTAGATAACATCCCAAAAATATTAAGGAGGAAATGGATTTCCTGTTTACTCCATGCAGGGCCCAGCTGTGCTAGAATCCCAATCCACATTCCCACAAATAAACATGCATACAACTTGCCCATCCTTTGTGCCGGTCACATTTCCTGTCCACCAAAGTTACATTTAAAAGTAGTTTAAAAAACAGCCCCCAAATGTCAGCAACATTCCAGCCTCTACTATATCAGGAATGATTTAGGTCCCCAAAAGCTGCATAAGTTTTTGGGGAAAATAGAAAAGACGGGTCCCCAGCATTGTACAGGTAGTCCTTGACTTACAACCATTCATTTAGCAACTGTTTGACTGTTTTAGCCATAATGGCACTTAACAAAGTGACTTATGATCAGTCCTCACACTTGTGACTATTGAAGCATCCCTACAGTCAAAATTTGGGTGCATGGCAGTGCCAACATCTACAATGGTTGCAGTGTTCCTGAGTCATATGATCCCTATTTGTGACTTCCCAGCCAGCTTCTGAGAAACAAAGTCAATAGAAGCTGGATTTGCTTAAAATGGCATGATTCACTTAACAACTGTATTGATTCACTTAACAATCATAGCAAAATGGTCATAAAATGGGGAGCAATTTACTTAACAACTGTGGCAAGAAAGATGGTAAAGTGGGGCAAAAATCAATTAACAATTGCCTTGCTTAGCACCAAAAATTCTGATCCTAATAGTGATTGTAAGTTGGGGACACAACAAGTAAGTCAAGGATGCAACAGCAGCTGCGAGAGAGATCTAGGAGTCCTGGGAGAGAAACACTTAAATATGAGCCAGCAATGTACTGCAGCCACCAAAAAAGCCAATGTATCCCTAGGCTGCCTTAACAGAGGGATAGAATCAAGGTCACGTGAATACCACTCTATAATGCCTTGGCAAGACCATACTTGGAATACTGCATCCAGTTTTAGTCACCACAATATAAAAAAAGATGTTGGAACTTTGGAAAGAGTGCAGAGAAGATCAACAAAGATCATTAAGAGGTTGGGGGGCTAAAACATACGAAAAACAGTTGCAGGAATTGAGTACGTCTAGTTTAATGAAAAGAAGGACCAGGGGTGACATGATAGCAGTTTTCCAATATCTAAGGGGCTGTCACAAAGAAGAGGGGGATCTTCTTTGTGGCAGGACCAGGAGGCAGGACAAGAAACAATGGAAAGGGATAAAAACCAGGGGAATCCAAAGGAGATCTGGTGTCCTTTGGCCTTTCCCAAAGCCATTGGTTGTAATTGCTTCTATTCCCTGTGGCAGTCCTGAAAGCTATTTTGCAGTCAGGAAGAAATGCTCCATTGATACCATTCAGCAGGTTCCTCTGGGAAAGCTCATTTTTCTTGGGTCAAGGTAGCATTATAACAAAACACCCTTAGCCGTTTTCAGCCGAAAATGCATCAACAATAAAAAATTCCTATGGATAATCCATATACAAGCCTTCCGGATTACAAGACTTTGGATTCAAGCCCAGTGTTCCTTAGGACTTAATGCGAGTCCATCCTTGTGTGTTGTGCCTGTGTGTGGTGTGTGATTCTCCTCTTCCTAGAGTGAGGGCTTTTTCTTCTGCTCTCTCTTTTTCACTCTGCTGTACCCAGATATGTGGCTCAGGAATTAATCACCTGGGGAAAATGTGATTTAACTGCATTATGTATCTGACTTAGCCTCAGCCTCTTTCACAGTCAGAATCCCATAAACCAATTTAGCCACAATGTTTACAGGTTTCACATGCACATCGTCTGGCCAGCAGCCTATTCTTCCCAAATCCAAAGCAAAACTAAGCTCATTAGAAGCAATCCGATTTGCCATGGGTCCATTACTTCAGGGACTAGGTGAGAAATCCAATAGAAAAAAGAAGGTTGGACCCCAGGAAGGAAGTGATAGAAAACAGGAAAAGTTAATAATAATAATAATAATAATAATAATAATAATAATAATAATAATAATAATAATAATAATAATATCATTTGCCTGTAAGCAAAAACTGGTGGGATCATAAAATAGAGAAAGTCATAGAAAATGATAAAATTAAACTGCTCTGGGACTTCAGAATTCAAACAGACAAGCACCTACAACATAACACCCCAGACTTAACAATTGTCGATAAGAAAGACAAAAACGTCTGGATAGTGGATGTGGCAGTGCCTGGAGATAGCAGAATAGAAGAGAAAGAACTGGAGAAGATAACAAAATACAAAGACCTACAAATAGAAATAGAAAGACTGTGGCAAAAGCAAGCAAGGGTAGTACCAATAGTCATAGGCTCCTTGGGTGCAATCCCAAAACAACTGGAGCATCACTTGAACATCATTGGCATTGACAAATTCGCTATTAGTCAATTGCAAAAGGCGGCCTTACTAGGAACTGCTTCCATCCTGCGACAATATCTGTAATACCATCAAACATCCACATCTGCCTATCCCAGGTCCTGGGTAAGGACTCGATAGGTAGACAAAATGCCAAATCCAGTCTGAACATCTGGCTGTCTGTGCGATGATCCCTAATAATAATAATAAAAATAACAATAATAATAATAACAACAACCACCACCACCACCATCACCAATATATCTCTGGGATGTTTGTAAAAAAAAAAAAAATTCCCAGCTCCAACTTCATAGCAGCTGAGTACATTTAGAACATTGAACATAGAATAAATAGAGTTGGAAGAGACCTTGGAGGTCTTCTAGTCCAACCCCTTGCTCAAGTAGGCAACCCTATATCATTTCAGACAAATGATTGTCCAGTCTCTTTTTGAAAGCCTCCAGTGATGGAGCACGCACTATTTCTGAAATTCCATTGGTTGATTGCGCTCATCATTAGGGATTTTCTCCTTAGTTCTAGGTTGCTTTCCTCCTTGGTTAGTTTCCATCCGTTGTATCTTGTCTTGCCTTTTGATGCTTTGGAAAATAGTTTGATCTCCTCATCTTTTTTGTTTAGACAGATCCTTTGGAAGATGTTTTTACTCCTCCTTTAATAAATTTTAGCACTGCATCTACTGTACCAAGAAAGGAGCAATCAGGCAAGGGACATTATAAGACTGAACTTCAGGATTGAATATCTATGACAGTGTTTCTTAACCTTGACAATTTTAAGGCATGTGGACTTCAACTCCCAGAATTCCACAGCCAGCATTGCTGGCTGTGGAATTCTGGAGAGTTGAAGTCCACATGCCTTAAAATTGTCAAGGTTGAGAAACACTGATCTATGGCTTTTTCAATGACCTCCAGTGGTGTCCACAGAGGAGAGTCTAAAAATGTCTAGAACAGTATTTCTCAACCTCGGCAACTTTAAGACATGTGGACTTCAAGTCCTAGTTTTCCCCAGGTTGGCTGGGGAATTCTGGATGTTGAAGCCTACATATCTTAAAGTTGCCAAGGTGGAGGGACACTGCTCTAAGACAGAGAGCACAACAACATGGAATTCATTTCTGTTCTATGCAATATGCATCACATTATATTGGCTTCCAGAATGCTCCCAGGGGCAATTCAAGGTGCTGCTTATTGCCTTTAAAGCTCTACTTCTACTTGCTCTTAATCGTCCCTCTGTAGAAAGTGGTAAGGACAGAGGAAGGAAAATGTGCTTTTCTCATGCAACACAGAAAATGCAAGCACTGCTGTGTCTGCTTCATCAGTGTCTCACTGTCGAACAACCTAGCCAGCCTACTTGTTAGCTGCACACCCAGGAATTTGATACTGGTAACCATCTCCACAGGTGGATCATTAATGCACGGAAAAGTGTGGCTTTGCCTGCCTTTTCTGAAATTGACAATGATCTCTTTGGTTTTTCCAGTATTTAAAGTTAGGATGTTTTCCTTACACCAGTTCACCAAACCCTCAACTTCCTTGCAATAAGCACCCTCATTGTCATCATGAATAAGATCCACTACTGTTGTATCATCTGGAACTTCGTAATATGGTTGGTGGCAAACCTAGCACAACAGTTATGGGTCAATAGGGTGAATAGCAGCGGACTTAGGACACAGCCCTGAGGAGAACCTGTGCTCAAGAAAATGGTGTTAGAAATATTTGTTCCAGCTCACACATATTGGGGTCTGTTAGTAAGAAAATCAAGAATCCAGTTGCACAAAAGAGTGTTTGTCTACTAGATGTTGGGGAATGATTGTGTTAAATGCCAAACTGAAGTCGACAAACAACAAATGCACATGAGTATTCCTTTCCTCTAAGTGCTTCAAGCTTAGATGGAGAACAGAAAAAAATAGCATCCTCCATAGAGCAATTTGGTCAGTAAGCAAACTGATGTGGGTCAAATGCTGGTGGGAGGCTGGATATGATAATGTCTTTTATCAGCTTCTCAAAGCAATTCATAATGATGGATGTCAGTGCAACCATTATTACAGCCTTTTCCAGAGAGCTAGGACTTGTATAATGTGTCTTGGAGTAGGATAATTTGAGCCTGGTCATTTGCTTAGTTGATTTGTTTGATGGTCCAACAGTTTGTTTTCTTGATTGTCTACAGTATTCTCAAGAGTCTTCCCCAACATCAAACATCAAAACTATCAGTACTCTTCCAATCCTGCTTCTTTATTTCCATGGAGTATCGCAAGGAATAATATGGTTTGCATTATTCTGATCTTTATCAGTACTGTATAGACACATCATAGTTTCTAAGGGCTTCACAGACAAAAAGCTGAGCAGAAGATACATGGTCCTTACACCAATATAAATGTATGCTTCCTTCTGCAGCATATATACTAAAATTGGAACAATACAAGTTAGCATGGCTCCTACGCAAGGATGACATGCATACAAATTTGATTAGTAGAAAATTAATAAATAAATTCTGTTCCCATAATTTATACTTTTTTCTTGGCTTAGACATTTCTGGAAAAGGACTACGGCTATTCACTGTCTAGCTTGATGTTCTTGCTCCTTTTAGCCTTCCATTCACTGCTGGGGAGAAGGTGAGAACTGATTGACAGTATTGTATTGTGTTTTTTTCCTTACTTGAACGTAGGGTGAAGAGAGGGCTGGGAGGAAGATAGCAGACTGTCAAGCGTTCCTTTTCAATCACTTATTTGAAAAAACAACAGCTCTTATTGTTTAAGCTTGACTTTTTGCCTTTTGAGTTTCTTAAAATCCTACAAATTAAGTCATAAATGCCCAATTATCACCTCATTTTCAACATTTACAAGAAATTACACATTTGCTCGTACACTCCCTGTACAATGCTGAAAATGTCATTTTAAAAAAATACAAAGCCCAATCCTCCAAATATAGCTCCAACCAATGCCTGAAAACAGTATTTATTTATTTTGTAAAAAATTTAACTGGCCCCAGACATTGTACAACGAAGAATTGGTACAGCTTAATTATGTTTTTGCCGGATTTGTGTTATCCAAGGGTAAAACAACAACAGAACTTTGGGCTATTAAGGAGCTTTCTATCCTGTCTTTCCTTCTGCAAATTTGCATATAAAAATGACATAAAGTTGCTTAATTATGTTGCAAATGGGCCACAAGATTTTTTTTTTAAAAAAGCTGCTCATCTCAGAGATTTCCATAAGAGGTAAAGTACTTAATATTTGCATATAGCTATTGGCCCATATTTCAGACAGCAAAGTACTTTGATGGTTGGATTCCATTCCAACTTGTATAGTCTGCTTGATGCCCTATGCTCTTACCCAGGGATCTTCAAACTTGGTCCTTTTATGACTTGTGGACTTCAATTCCCAGAATTCCTCAGACAGGCATGCTGGCTGAGGAATTCTGGGAGTTGAAATCCACAAGTCATAAAAGCAGTCGTGGGATTCAGCCAGTTTGCAACACTGCAAACTGGCTGAATCTAGTTTAACGAAGAGAAGGACAAGGGAGGACATGATAGCAGTATTCCAATATCTCAGGGGCTGCCATAAAGAAGAGGGAATTAAGCTATTTTCCAAAACACCTGAAGGCAGGACAAGAAGCAACGGGTGGAAACTAATCAAGGAGAGAAGCAACCTAGAACTAAGGAGAAACTTCCTGACAGTGAGAACAATTAATCAGTGGAACAGCTTGCCTCCAGAAGCAGTAAATGCTCCAACACTGGAAGTTTTTAAGAAGAGACTGGACAGCCATTTGTCCGAAATGGTGTAGGGTTTCCTGCCCGAGCAGGGGGTTGGACTAGATGACCTCCAAGGTCCCTTCCAACTTTACTACTACTATTATTATTACTTCGGCAGAGCTGGTAGCTAATTTTTTGTTGCCAGGCCCAGAACGGACTTCCAGAAGTGGCATCCACACAGAGAACCGGTTGTTCACATATTTGAATCCCACCACTGTATAAAAGGGCCAAGTTTGAAGAGCCCTGCTCTTACCTATGATATTGCTGCCTAAAACCAGCTACTTACACTTACATTAAACCAAATGAGAATGGCAGGAACACCTCATGACAAACAACATGGCTCTGTAGGTAATATAGGAAAGGGCAGTGATTCAAACAAAGCAGTTTGCAGTATATTTGTTTTATATGTTTGATACATCCTCAAAGGAATCCTGTTCAGGAATGTGCTTTTTAAGTTGTTAGGCAATTTTAACTTAATATTTATTATTTTAATGTTTTAGCTTATTATTTTTACTTGGTTGTAAGGCACCTAGAATTGCCTCTTGGTGAGATGGGTGGCATATAAATTTAACAAATAAAATAAGTTCTTCCAATATTAAGAATATTTAACACATTTAAAAAAGCAAGAAGAGCCAAACCTGAGTACTTATAGAATTAGGAGCCAGTACTATTAGCTCTGTTAAACATTGTAGATTTCCTTGAAAGTAACTCCCACAGAATTGAATGGGCTTTACTTCCACATCTAATTTCTAATTTCTAAAAACTGGGTATTCACTAAAGCACTATAAACGGTACTAACACTTCCTGTGATCTTGATTCTGTCTCTCTGTTGATGCAGCCAAGAACTGCTGTAGATTGAAATTATGACTCTCTTGTTATTAAAAAAAAAAGTGTTTCACCACTGAGCCGTTCTGAACTCTTTATGGATGTGTAAGTCCTAAAATTAGTATATGGCTGCAGTGACATTATTACCCAATCAGAATCAGGTTTATAAATACTGGTCAGAATTTTTGCTGGGATAGATCCAAGATTTTTTGAGAAATAACCCAAAATATTCCTGTAACAATGTTCAGGGATGTTTTTGAATGTTCTCAGTTTACTTCTCATGCCAGAAGAATTTGGCATGACAAGAATGTGATGAGGACCCTGAGACCACCTGAGGGGCATAGAAGTCACCCCAGGCTTCTGCACATTCTAATGGGGGGGCTGCAGAGTTCTTCTCAGGCTGAAGACACACTCCCAATTTTAGGAGGATCAATTCTCTGTTTCTGTTGAAGTGTTTCCTGAGTCAGTGGCATTTGCAGGACGTGAAATGGAAAAATAAAGTATTCTGGTGAGGAAGGTGAAACATTTTCACTACAGAAAGTTTTAACTATCTAAATTTCAGGTGAAAGTAGGTCAAAACCAGTGGTGCAGTCCCTCAATAAGCCCATCGTTTCCTATTGAACATTCACTTTATTAAAAATAATTGCTGCATCATAGCAATGTTCCCAGATAATCTCCTCAAACTGTTTTCAAGGTCTCTTTCAATGAAACTCTTTGGTAGGTGCTCTATTGTTTTTATAGCTCAATCTACAAATAACTATATAAAATATTTTGACCCCTGCAGGTCAGTCTAGGATCTACTCTCCTCTAGATTTTCCTGTTTGCCCGATTCTTTGGTACCTTCTGATGGCAAGAACCTGGCAGAAAAGAGCCATGTTTCTCTAGTAGTTAAGGTACTAGGCTAGAAAGTGGGAGACTCTGAGTTCAACTCCCACCTTAGCCATGAAAGCCAGCATGGTGACCTTGGATTAGTCACTCTCTTCAGCCCAACTCTCCTCACAGGAGATGATTGGAAGAGGTATAGAATAGAATAGAGCTGGAAGGGACCTTGGAGGTCTTCCAGTCCAGCCCCCTGCTCAAGCAGGAGAACCTATACCATCTGAGACAGGTGAATGTTTAGTCTCTTCTTGAAAATCTCCAGTGATGGAGCACCCATGATTTCTGGAGGCATGCTGTTCCACTGGTTGATTGTCCTCACTGTCAGGAAGTTTCTCCTTAATTCCAGGTTGCTTCTGTCTTTGTTCAGTTTCCAACCATTGTTTCTCATCCTTCCTTCTGGTGCTTTGGTGAACAACCTGCCCCCCTCTACCTTGTGTGTTGGATATGTTCACTGCCTTGGGTTATTTGTAAAAAATAATAAAGGTGTGGTTACAAATTAAATAAAAAAGTAGGAGGGGACAAGCCAACATAAACATTGTTTTGGTCATAGATGGATTTGTGGGAAATATGCATCCCCCCAAAAAAATATACAAGCTGTCTTCCAGATTCTTAATGAATACAAAGTGGCCATATAAGAAATGAAGAAATAATGTGATCCTAACACCTTTACATTTGTAACTACTTTGAGTAAAAGAGTTAACCGATGAGAGCAAAATTCTAGTTCTTTTAATCTAATTGTCTGATCTATAATTCAGATGCATATCCTGGGGAATTTTTCAAATGGAATGGAGGCAACAATTGTTTTTTTGTTGATATTCCCACAACAGATAATGCAGACTGGTATAATAGGGTGTTGAGCTTGGACCAATAAATAGGTAGTCACCCATTAGACATAACTTAACTGTTGATTTTCTGCATTTTTAACACAGTCCTAGGCTGCCTTAACAGAGGGATAGAATTAAGATCATCTGAAGTGTAAATACCACTTTATAATGTCTTGGTAAAACCACACTTGGAATATTGCATCCAGTTTTGGTCGCCACAATGTAAAAAAGAAGTTGAGACTCTAGAAAGAGTGCAGAGAACAGCAACAAAGAAGATTTGGGGACTGAAGGCTAAAATATATGAAAAACAGTTGCAGGAATTGGGTATGTCTAATTTAATGTAAAGAAGGACTAGGGAGGAACATGATACCACTGTTCCAAAATATAAGGGGCTGCCACAGAGAAGATGGAGTCAACCTATTCTCCAAAGCACCTGAAGGCAGGTCAAGAAGCAATGGATGGAAATGATCAAAGAGAGAAGCCACCTGGAACTAAGGAAAATTTTCCTGGCAGTTAGAACAATTAATCAGTGGAATGACTTGCCTCCAGATGTTGTGGGTGCTCCAGCATTGGAGGTTTTTAGAAGAGATTGGACAACTTTTTGTCTGAAATAGTATAGGGTTTCCTGCTTGAGCAGAGGGTTGGCCTAGAAGATCTCCAGGGTCCTTTCCAACTCTTTTATTCTCTTATCTGTAGGGTGGATGAGCTGATTCTTAAAGTCCCTTTTCATCCTTACAAGTTTTCAGTCTGTCCTTAACATCCAACATCCAAGATGTTGTTGCTGCTGCTGCTCTTGCTGCACTTGTTATATTTTATTTGTAAATGTACCACTATTGTGCATCATTCTCTCTAGAGCACATAAATGTTAAGTCCCCAAGATGAGAAGCTTAACATCTAAAATGAAAATGAATGAGGAAAAAAAAACAAATTAGCAGCAAAGCAATATATCCATCTACTGTAGATCCATTGCACACGCTTATGATTACTTACAGTTTGAAACACAGTTTCACTGGGGTGATAACAATTTGTAGAATTATGAAAGGGGGAAGAGAATCACCTCTCTCCTAATTCTACAACATTTGGCATGAACAACAGTTCAAGTTTTTAATCATCTGTCCTGCGGTTCACTCCATTCACAATCTTATTATTATTTTCTCTCAGCTACAGTTGTTTTGTTCCATGCTGAGCTTATAATTATCATATT